TTTTTTTTTTTTTACTTTTAAACCTCACTTTAAAAAATCTTCAAACTGAAAAGTTTAAAACTAAAATTCTAGAAAATTGTAATTTTTTTGTTGCAAATATTTGATTTTTGGAAATCAAGTATTGCTCTAAAAATATGTGAAATTAATCTCACAATTTGAGGGGTTTTTTTCTTGCAAATTTCTTCAGAAATTTCCACGTTTTTTTTCTACATTTTCCACGTTCTTTTCTTGCAATTTTCTTTTTTAATTTTTGAGCTCAGAAATTTCCAAGTTTTTTTTTTTTTCTAAAGAATTTTCAACTTTCAAAACTCAATTTTACTAGTTTTTCTTGGAAATTTTAGTTTTTTTTTCTTGCAAATAAGTTTTGTTTTTGGAAAACGTGAAATTAACCTCACAATTTGAGGGATTTTGTCCCAGGATTTTTTGACTTAAGAAAATATCTAATCTCAAAATTTTATTTTTTCTAAAAAAATTTTGACTTCTCAAACTGAAATTTTTAAGTTTTTCCTAGAAATTTTCTGGCAGACATTTACTCCTTTTTTCAACGTACAACGGCTTTAAAGCAGATGCAGTTGTTCCAGTGGAATCTTTCCCAGTCGACTTTAATTTCCAAACTCCTCTCCAGCCTGGTTGGACTCCGGTCCTGGTTTTCCCAGCTGTGCTGCCGTCGTGTTGTCGTGCTAAGCAGTTTCCATTTTGTCTGAGCCACAAAGGCAGCGGGTGAAAGTGCAGCGTGTGCAGACGAAGCTGCGTGGTTTTCCATTCCAGTTGCTCCTCGTTTCTTCTGCAGCTTCCATCACATTTCAACACAAAATTCTAGATGGACTGGTTGTTACAGACCCGGTTCTGTTCGGTCTCTGCTGTAACTGAGACCGTTATTGTTACTTTTCCTAAGGTTGGGAAAAGTTCAGAGAAAGTTTTGACCTTTTAGCATAAGAATATAGTCAGTTTGAACTTTTTAAGCCTTCTCAAGTAGATCCATTGATTATCTTTTTGATTGTCTTATTGATTTTCTGTCTGCTGGTTGCTCCTGAAGCTTTTAGCTGCCTTGCTCCTCGTTGTGCTGCAGATCTTCTTCCTGCTGCTCCTCCTGGAGAAGGTCAGGTGGGTCAAACATGACCCGTCTGTGCAGAAAATCGGACAGAGAGGGCATTCAGATCTTTGTTGCAGCATTTAAAATAAAATAAATGCTGCATTAGATCTGCAAAAAATTTTATATTTTCTGGTCTTTTTTTGGTAAAGTGATCGTTTTCTGTCAGGAAAAGACAGATTATTTGAAGCCAGAAGTAAAAACAAATAATTTGTCTATAGAGAACAACTAAAATCCAATATTTTGTCTGTTTCTAAAACATTTTCCCTGATAAAAAGCTTTGGAGGACTGATTCCAGTTGATCTGCTTTGTGCTCTGGTTTCTTTCAGTAATAAATGATAAGCTGAGTCTACTTTACTTCGACTCTTACAGCAGATCTGGTGTCGTCAGCAGCTTTCTTCCTCCCGGTTGGTTCGGAAACACGTCCTCTAAGAAGTAATACAGGTGTCCAACGCCGATACCTGAGGAGAGAGCTTTTGATGAATGCTACGTCTCAAAGCCACAGATCTCTGTTCTGCATAAATTACTAAAACGACAGTACAAAGGCCATTGTAGATAGAAAAAAATAATAAGGGAGTACATTCTGCAAAAAATCTAAGAACATTTTTAAAATAAAACTTGAAAATTTCTGAGCTTGAAAAGTCAAAAAAGTCGAGAAGAAGATGAAATTTTTAGATTAATCTAAAAAAAATTCTAGAAAAACTTGAAAATTTCTGAGTTTGAAAAGTTGAAAATTTGCTAAAAAAGATCAAGGAAATACTGAGATTCATCTATAAAATTTTCTAGAAGAAACATGAAAGTTTCTGAGTTTGAATAGTTGAAAATTTGTTAGAAATTTTTTTTATTTGAGATTAATCTCCAAAATATTCTGGAAAAATTTGGAAACTTCTGAGTTTCAAAAGCTGAAAATGTTCCAAGTTTTTTCAAGAAGATTTCTGTGATTAAGCTAAAAATTTCAGATTTTATTTCTTGCAAATATTCTAATTTCATCCTAAAAAATTTCTGAAATTTTTCCCATAGATTGTTGACTTTTGGAACTCAAAATGTTCCATGTTTTTTCTAAGAAAATTTCAGAACTTAATCTTAAAATTTCCGAGTTTTCTCTTGCATATTTTAAACTTTTCAAACTCAGAAATTTCCAAGATTTTTATAGCAAATTTCTGAAATCAATCTCAGAATTTCAGAATTTGTTTGGCAGAAATGTACTCCTCTTATCTGTTTCTGTCTAAAATTGCCCTAATAATGTAGTTGTAAAAGCCAGAAAGCAGAGGGTTAAGGCTTCTCACCCAGGACGTCGGCAGTGACGGGGTTTCCGAGCAGCAGCGAACATCCCATCAGCACCCAGGGCAGAAGCGGCGCCTGGAAGGTGAGGAGGCCGAGGAAGTTCATGCGTATGAGCGGGTTTCTTTTACTCCAGACGTACACCAGCATGGTGATGAAGGCCTGGCCGAGGAAGAAGATGTTGGCAAACAGACCCAGCAGCTGCAGACTTTCAGGTTAAATACAGATAAATCTAATTTATGGAGGTTTAATGTTCACAGACATTCTGCTAGTCAGGGTTAATCGAAATGAGGATTTTCCAACGCATTCTAATTCTTTTAGGTGATTTTTAGCCCATATTCCTTTTGCCATCTGCAGAGTTTGGTGTTTTTATTATTTTTGTGGGAAGTGGGTCTAAAGTCAGACTGATTGGATCCTTTGGGATTCTTCCCGTATTTCATAAACTCACTGTGAATTTCTGTTCTGGAGACCAAACAGAGTTCAACAGTGGAGGTTAAGAGAGTTCAGTGTGCACTGGGTTAACCAGATCCACGCTAGCTGAGTTTAACTAATTTCACATTTTGAAAATAAATTCGCTAAGGAAAACACACCATTTAGAAAAAAAAACTCACGTTTTTTGACAAAAAGCTTGGATGAGGTACTTTTTCAGCCGCATCAACACTTTTATCGAGTCGCACAAGTCACATGATCAACAACCGGATGTAACTAATCCATGAAGAAGAAGTAGACAGGAAGTAGTTTGAGAATCGTGTTTTAAAAAAACAAAAGCGATTTATCGCGGTAACAAACTTATTCACGTGTGATTTTAATTGCGTTTCTTATTTAATGAAAACAGCACACTTGCGAAATTACGTTTACAACATTAGCGGAGTATTGACAAAGTTTTGCGCAGATTTGTGAAGGACATGATGCTAAGTGATGCTACCAGAAGTGTTGTCTTCTGTTTCTCATATCAGAATAAGTTTGAGTCAGAGCTTCAAGATGGCTATTAGTCCTATTAGTCAAATTTATTAGCCACGTGTTATTAATTGTGACTATTAAAGAGTGAAAAGCAAAATCCAAGGAGATAAACAACGCATAAATAAACTACAGCACTGATCCACCTTTTTTTTAATGTCAGTGTAGATGTATCAGGTTTAGAATTGGCTGATAAAGGAAAAGTAGTGCTGAACTGATTTACAATGCTTTTTGTTGTTGTTGTTGTTGTGTTTTTTTTTTAAATACAGTCCTAAATGTAAACATTTTAATTTGTACGTCATATTTTTTGTGTGTATTTTTTTAGCTGCTCTTATTTGTTTTCTTATTTCATTTTGTAGATCAGAACCTGTTTGCTACAACTGTTTTCCATGCTTTAATTGGTGAATAAATAAAAAAAAACTATATTTTTAAACATTTTCTCCTGATATATATTAAAATTTTAATACTGAAATGTGGATCTTCTAACATTTTACCCTCATTCTTTAAATCTCCAGATGTCTCTTATTTAATCAGGAAACCCATTGTTTGCTCTCAGAGTTTGTAAAGGATACAGTTATGAGGATTCCTCCAAACAGGAACATGAAAACAAAATCAGCCGTTCTTCCTCGGAAACAGTCTTCCTCCAGCATGCGGCAGTACCGATAGCTGACCTCAGCTAAGGATTCGACTGCAGGTTTTTCTCTGTATTCAACAAATTATAATTTACGTCTCACTAAGCCTCATTTATCTTGAATTTTAATGTTGGGCAACATGAAGACCATAAATGTCCTAAAAACACTGGCTGTGCCTGAATGTATTGATAAAACCCATAAACTGTTAAAATATTATTAAATAGCTGTTTATGTACACAACTGCTATCTTTAAGGTTATATTTATGTGTCACTAGAATCTATAGAGCCAAATAAAAACTTATGGTGGGCCAGATTTGCTGCAATGTAGATAGAAAAATAATCACGGAAATCTTTAGGAAAAACAAGGAAAATTTTGAACTACCAAAGTTGCAAAATTGCTAGAAAAAAACTCAGAAATTTTTAGATTAATCTTAGACAATTTTCAAGAAAAAACAAGAAAACGTAGGAAAAGTTGCAAATTTGCTAGAACCCCCCCCCCACAAAAAATTTAGATTAATCTCAGAAACAATAACAACAACAACAACAACAACAATAATAATAATAATAATAATAATAATAATAATAATAATAATGTACATTTTTGAGTTTGAAAAGTTGCTAGAAAAATCTCAGAAATCTTCAAGAAAAGATCATGGAAATGTCTGACTTTCAAATTCAAATTCTTTTGACTTTACAGATCCAGAAATTCCTACGTTTTCTAAAACATTTCTGAGATCTTTTTGGCAGTAGTTCCCTGGCTCCCTTTTGCTTTTCTATCTACAATGGCCGTAATATGCCGTTGTAGTAAACTGCTGATAAATAATCATGCTGTTATTGTTTGTAACTCAGAGAAAGATACAGGAAAATGATGTTGAACAAAAAACCAAATCCAAGAGAACCAAAGAAGAAGAAACTGGTGATCAGACGCCATATCTGGAAAACAAATGAGGAAACAGTGATGAAGATGATGAATTACTTTGGTGTTAAAATTTTTTGTACCTGGTATCTACTGATGATGAGGTCTGGGTTGAAGTACAGCTGAAACGGGGAGATGACTTGAAGTTGCTGGAAAGAAATCTGCAGGTTCAGCTTTGATTCTTTCACCATTTAGAGATAAAATTACACATTTCAGTTCTTTCAAAAGCATTACCTGGATCCCAATTTAAGCTAACAACAAATTACAAACATTTAAATCAGTAAAAACAGTTTGATTCTCACCTAGAACAGAGTATTCTCTTTCAGAACAACATGAGTTACAATGTGCTGGTTCTGTTCTGGTTCTGGTGTTTCTTACCACGGCAGCGGTGGTGAGGACGCAGGCAGTCGTGTATGTCCGGGTCACCAGAGGGATCTGGAAATACTCCTGAGTGAGGCTGAGAGCCATCGCTGCTGCTGCTGCTGCTGCATCTCTGAGGCTTCATTTACTCTGAACACATGCAGTAGGCCACGCCCACTTCACAGCAACAGCCAATCGGATTCACCCAAACACTGCAAAAAATCCCACAAGAACACAAGTCTAGATGCTTTGCTCTTGCGCTCGATGAAGGCGGACGCTTTTTTCCTCCGCTCCTTCCCTGTCCATGCCTGCCCTGCTTTCTCTGTTTTTGTCCTGTTGAAATAATCTGCCAATAGAACAAGACATTTTTCATCAATATTAAGGAGTTATTGACTTACGACAAAATCCTATATCTTGCAGAAAACTTACTTATGTTAGTTTTCTCTTATTTAAAGTGTACTAAAATATTTGCACTAGAAATTAGACCGAAAAACAGGTGATTTTAATAATTTTGTGTTTTTGCAATGAAGTTAGTCCTAAATATAACTACAAACCTTTATCACATTATTAACAAGATCTATTATTTTTAGAAGGGAATGAATTAAACCTTTAAACTGGTTAAACAGAATGTTTTATTCTTCTAAATTAATTCATTTAGAAACTAAATAATGATAAATTAACAGTCTGATAATTCAGTTGGCCTTAAATCTCAAAATAATTAAAGATTTTTTTAAACTTTTTTCATTTCTGAAGTTCATTTTAAATGATATTTATGACAATAAAACTATTATTTATATTTATTTATGTGGTTTTATACACTGAATATTTGGGAGAAATTGCAACATTTTCAAACAAACCTCAGATTTTATTTATATCTGTCATTATTAAGGATATTTTCATATAAATATATCAGTTTTTCTGCTGTACACTTTTTATTAAATCATTTTTTCTGAACTCAGTGTAAATCATTGTTTTCTATCTGGAAGTAGTGGTAGTCAAACTCGAGTTAATTGCAGGGTCGTTAATTAATTAATTGTGACAAATGCATTATAGAATCTTTATATTTTCAGCTTTTTTGATAAACTGACAGAAAAATGATTTAGATTCAGCCTTTAAAATACTTTTTCTTTCATCAAAGGTTCCCAGGAGATTTTATCATTAAAGTTTTTAACTTTTAGAGAAAAATCAACTTTCAGATCCATTGTTAGACAATGTGGTAAAAACGTAAAAGATTTATTCAAAGTAGCTCAGAAAAACAGGAAAAAACGTACATAGTTCCTACATTTTTACAGGTTATAGCCTACATTTGGTTAAATACACAGAATGAAAACATGTATGTACAAAAGGCTTTGGTGTTTGTGCATAAACATGTTGGAAGAAGTCAGATAAATGAGATCAACTGAGTCAAACAGAGCAGATTGTAAGGAAAACAGCAAAGTCAGAGCGATAAAAACAGAAACGACTCGTCAGCGTCCTGCACTGAGGAGAACGACGGTGAACACGACGGTCTGGGCCGAACCTTCAGAGTTCAAGTGCTGCAGCGAGAAAAGATGCAAAGCTGAGGAGCAGCGGTTCTCCAACAAGGCTTCAATCAGAGATTATTCATTGTGAGTTCAGCAATTTGTGCAAAAGTCTTAATCCAGCTGAGTTTTCTTCATATTTTCCTTCAAAGCAGTCTGACTTTCCCTGAAACTTTCAGTCTTTAAAGGGGCAGTATTATGTATTTTTTCAGCCATTTTATAGCACAATCAAGTAACTATGTTACAGTTCTAAAAATGCAAAACATATCAAATATGACTTAAAAGAGATTTGATTTAGTAATTTAACACCTTGAAATTGGGTCTCTGTCTCTTTAAGAAACTCCTGCTCTTTCTGATCACAACATGGCTCCTCTATTAACCCTTTAACAACCAGCATTTCACTGAGAAGCAGCTTCTTTAATGAGCTCAGCTAATAATTTGCTAATTGCTTGTGGCTAGTCTGAAGGAGCTGAGTTGAAGCAGATGCTTGAAAACTTGGAAACTGCAGCTCAACTTGTTTCTGATGAACGAATAACATTATAGCTTGATGTAAAGCTCAAATACTGCCCCTTGAAAAGCAAATTTTTGGACTGCTTTTGTACTCCAGTGCCAGATAAATTAATAAAAAAACAACTAAGAGATTTATTTATTGGTAAAATACTAATTTTGTCCCCATAGAGGTCATAGGATGCTGCATGGATGGAGTCACAATGCTGAAAATCCGAGTCTAAAAAATAACGTGATTTTGCCATGAAAAAAACTAACTTGAGTAAAAACTTGTAAGCAAACTAATTCATACAAACATTGGCTGTTTGGTTTCTTTTAAAAGAAAAATAACTGTTAACATTTTCCCAAAATTGATTGTCTTTCTGCCACTCAGTAAGCTTAACACCACTGTGATTAAATCATGGATTACGTCTGCAGGGACTGAAAAGTTAAAAATAATAACAAATTTAAAATAAAAGTTTTCTTCTTTGCCAATCAAACATTTGCTACTTTTATTTTGAGAACCATAAAATAACATTTAAAACTAGATTAAGTGTTTTTTTTCCCCCCAATGAAGACAGCTTGAGGCTACAATAACAAATGGAAAGTAAATGTCTCAAGACTTTTGCACAGGACTCTAGGTAAAATTTGTAATTGATTGACATTAAACAAAAATAAGAGTAAATAGTTAATAGTTTAAAAAAAATGTCATTCTGACTTTTACAATAACAATGTTAAAATATTTGAATTTCTCCAGTTGGATTCAGGAGAATAATATTTTTAAATTTTTAGTTTTTATATGCTTTTTAACTTCAGCTTACCAGAACTAGTTTACCACTAATTTCCCCAGTAGTGGAGAACCGCTGCGGTCCCTGAATGCATCCCTGACTAACAGAAAACACAGAGCACCGTTTGATTGATGTGCAGTGACGTCATCAGGGTCCGTTCCGGCCACTAGATGGCGCACTGCAGCTTATTCTACGACCATGATGTGAGAAGAGTGAGATCAGACATTAACAGCTGCAGCAGAATCAACTTTTCTTATTATTTTAAATTTAAAAGAGGAAAATATTTCAGTTCAAATAGGAACATAAATAGATGAGGATCTGTGGTAAAAGCAAACAAAGTCACTCCTCTGTTGTTCAATTCACGTCCAAACTTGAAAAATGATTCAAATGTCTCCTTCTCAATCAGCAAAGATGTAAGAAAAGTGTAACAAACCCGTAGAGAAATAAATATTTACTCTTGTTTTGCATCCAGGACCAGATTTTTCGCATATTTGTGACTCAGGTTGAAGGAGAAACACCGAACCTCAGGCACTGATTAAATGCAACTTGATCTGTTTTCCTGCTTTTGGAAACCATGAATCACAAAAACAGAACATAAGAACTTCTACAGACAGAGGTTAAAATCAGTTGAAGCGGTGCAAACAAAGCCACACGGAGTCCCCGGGAAAATATATAAATCTGACGTGCAACGGCTCGATGGTTAGACCTGAAGTAACCCTCTGCTGTTCTCTGGATTCGCTTTTTTTCATGCTTGTTTTGAGGCAGGTAAAAACTGAAACAGCATCAGAGAGTAACATTTAAATGGTAATTTTTTAGATCCTTTGTTCTTACAAGGCTGAAAATGTCAGCCATTAAAGCAACTTTGCTAATTAACTCAAACAACTAACTGAAAAAAAAAACAAAACAAAACAAAAAAAACAGGAGTCTGGTTTAGAACAGATGCTAATCTTTAGACCCAAGCTAGCTGGAGTCAAACTTCAGATAGCTTGTTGAAGACTCTGTAAAATTGCAGCAACTCTGCAATGACCTCAACAAGACTCTGCAAAGACCTTAGCAAGACTCTGCAAAGACCTTAGCAAGATTCTGCAAAGACCTTAGCAAGACTCTGCAAAGACCTTAGCAAGACTCTGCAAAGGCCTTAGCAAGATTCTGCAAAGCCCTTAGCAAGACTCTGCAAAGGCCTTAGCAAGACTCTGCAAAGGCCTTAGCAAGACTCTGCAAAGGCCTTAGCAAGACTCTGTAAAGCCCTCAGCAAGTCTCTGTAAAGACCTTAGCAAGACTCTGTAAAGACCTTAGCAAGACTCTGTAAAGACCTTAGCAAGACTCTGTAAAGACCTCAGCAAGACTCTGTAAAGACCTTAGCAAGACTCTGCAAAGAACATAGCAGGACCTTACAAAACCATCTCACTTTGACTCATTTTTAAGGCGTCCAAATCCAGTATAAGCCCCATTTTCTTGATTCTGATTGTAAAACAGTGAAGTATGACTGGAAATTATCATCTACTTGCTGACTGACTTCTAGAGTTAAACCCTCCACTGACCGCCGCTGTGAGTCTGATGTCACTCTTCAAACACTCTGAGGTGCGTTGTTGATGAAAACACAAACTGAAACATCCAACACTGACCACACTGAGAACAACAGTTTGTTAAACAGTTTCTGGCTCAAGCGAGACTGAATCCAGGGTCTCGGGCTCATGGTGACACAAAAATGTGCAAAAATAAATACGAGTAGAGCTGCACAGGAGGTGCCAGATCTGAGGGAAGGTGGGTTTTTTTTTTCCTGAGAAGAAGGCATAAATTGATCTGAGTGTCAATAAATGCAGTGAAGCATAAACAGGTGTAAAAATTGTCTCGTCCTCATGAGTCTGCAGTTTTTATTCCATTAACTCCTCTTTGCGTCAAAGGAATCAGGGTATGCGAATCTTCACAGACTCACTCGTTCCTGCACCCAAAGAAATCCATGCCGACGTAGCGTGGGTAACCTTCCAACGAGTTCATGGCGACAGGATCGAACTTCCAGTACTGACGTCCTCGGATGAAATGAGCAAAGCCTACAGAAGAGAGCAAAAACAGATTTTTTATAATTTCTGGAGACCGAGGAAGATGGAAAATATGCACATCAAATGGACCTCTTCAGATTAAAGGACTCAAACAGACTTATACTGAACTACAAAATAAGAGACTTTTTGTAATGCTGTTGTTGGCTTGGAAGTGTCCATAAACTCTCTGAAATATCAGAACTTTTTCACAAAAATAAACTTTTGATCTCTTTTGGTCTTGCAACAGGATAAAAATCCAAAATATTTGTCCAAATCTGCACAGAAATGGTTATGCAGACACAAAAGTAAAAAAAACTGGGTGTTGGATAAATATGTCCAGCAGCCTGGAGTTTGGCTAAAGAAATGGAAACAAACTGCTTGAGGCAAGCTGCTTGTCAGAAAGTGAAGTTTAAAACTGGTTCTGAGTAAAACGTTTGACTCTAGCAGCATCCACAGTTTAAGACAGAAATCAAAAGCATTTTTTCCTTCGTACCGTGGGTGTCCCTGAAGGCAGCGTCAATATCCTCAGGGATGCCAGTCCAGCACTGCATGCTGCGCGGTTGGGGCGACTCGACCCGGTTCTCCTGGGGACTGAACCTCCAGTAGCTACCGGACTTGAAGAAGTAGATGCTGTAGTTAGGGTCGTGACCCCAGCGAAGTGCAGCCTGGATGCTGGATGTGGATAATCCTAAACTCCTGATGGACTCGGGGCCCCTGATGTGCATCTCAGCGTCAAACACCCAGTAGTTATCATCTGCAGAAACCAGAAAAACCCACTGAAGTCCAACTTTTATTCACTTTTTCTTTTTTTAAAAATTCTTTTACAACTGTTTGCGTACAAATGCTAACAGTACCAAAAAGATCACTAAATACTGTAATAGCAGCGGAGAAAATTAGGCTCAATTTTGAGTTACAACTCTGCCTTGCTTCACAGTAGAAAAACATTAAAATTTTAAACAGTTTAATAGACTAAATTTTGAGACTTTACAGTTTTTACACAATCAGAGCTTAAGTTTTATGACTTTTCCCTGAAAAACATTGTCAATGTCAATTTATCTATATAGCACATAAAAGCATAAAAACAACAGACGTTGACAAAAGTGATGCACAATTCAATGAAATAAAGCAATATGACAATAATAACAAGGAAATATATTCAAAAGTAATACAAATATATTCGATAACTGTCGTTATAAGAGAAACTCAAACTGTTTGAATCAAATGCCAGAGGATAAAAGTCATAACAGTCTCTGCGTTACGTACAGGAAAAAGTAAATCGTTCCAAATTTTAGGAGCATAAGTCGCAAAAGCCCAATCTCAGCTGAATAAATAGTCAGAATAATAAACACAAAAAAATTATTTTTGTGTGTAAGTTATATGTCAGAATGTCTTTTGGTAATTTCACTGTCCACTAACTTTTGTTTCTTTGTGTGGACTTCCTGTTCATGGCTTCCTAGCAAAGGAGGGAGTCACCATGGCAACCACTGACTTGTTCTATTTTATTCTAGAGGTCCAACTTGCTGGAGATTGTAAAGTTTAGATTTGTCAGACTTATTAAAGCAGCTAAAAAGTCTACATTTTTATTGAGATATTCTGGTTGGTAGCTTATAAAAAGCCATAAACTACATAACTACACCTCAGCCACACGGTGGACAATGGGGTTGTCATGACGCTAGGAAAAATACTTCATTTCTGATACCGAGATGATACTTCACTATTACATTTGTATGTTGGCAATTTTTAATCTGCATGGCGTCCAAACAACAGTTTTGTGTTTGCCTCATTAGCTGAGGAGGAAAAAGTGAGATTATTTTTGACTTTATTTGATACTCACCTTGAAAGAACCAAATATTCCCTGACTTGTCCTCAAAGGCGGCATCAATCTTGGTCGGGATCCCCTTCCAGTGTCGGGAGGCCAGCGCCGGATACCCGCTCTCCAGACGCGCCGATCCTCCAGGATCCCTGATCCTCCAAACGTAACCCGACTTAAAGAAGAACAGCTCCCCTCGGATCATCGACACGGCGTCGAAGTCCGTCTGACAGGCGTCAGGCTGGAGGCAAAACAGAGAACGCTCTCAAAAACACCGTAAATCATTCTAACCTCATTTAGTTGTGTCATCCAGCTACTCCTTACGTCTTGCAAGTTTTGGATTTTCAACTGAAATGCATCAGTTTGTAAACGGTAACCTTAGTAAGTTGTGTTAACTTTTCATTAATTTTGTCATATTTCTGAGGAAACAAAGGATTTTAAACCCCTGAAAGAACTAAAAAAAATAATTGATCCCAGAGGAAAAATAAACGATGTTAATCAGCTCCTCCCAGTTGTAATCCATCCTGTTGGTACGGTTACGCATCACAGCAAAAGAGTAAAGTATGCACCGCATCCAAAACAAGCAGGAATGGTTGCTGAAAAATTCCCCCAGAAAGACATGAATGAAAGTTTGAATTTCATTCAAATGAAATTCAAACTTTGAAAGTAACATTGTCGCCAGCCTGAGCGGTGCAATTCCAGGAAAAAACAACAACAACAAAAAAAAAAAGAGGGAAAAGGTGGGAGTGGGAAATATTTCCTCGGGTGCTCAGCGTGAGAGAGCTCGAAGTATTAAATTGAACTAGTTGTTATATGTAATTAAGGCTAACATTAATTTTAGTGCAACTGTCAATTAGCAATGGATGAGCACAGTGTCTTCTCAGATTGCTTATTCTGTTCAAAATAAATGCTTTTGAGCAGAAATCAGTGTAATAAAATGTTTAATAAAATGCATAATCATTCATGTAAGTTAAATAAAGAGTTTAAATTCTTTTCACTTTAAAATAAGTATTTATTGTAACTTGATAACATGAGTGAAAATAATAAAACATTCTGGAGCTCAGCTTGGGTTGCTAGGTAACGGGCTGGGCTTGGCTGGGGTTGCTAGGTAACGGGCAGTGCCTTCTGAATTGTGACATTACATTGCAGAGAGTTTTGAAACGGGTAATTTTCCAAACACCAAAAAAACATTAACTTAATTGCCAAAAAATCGACTGGGTGTGTCTTTAAATTGCCTGGCCTGTTTTCAGAAGCAGCAGAAACCCAAATGAAAATACAAAAACATGCAAAATATGAACATTACATATTAGGTTCCATTTAAAAACAAAAGTTATCCAAGTGAATTTTACATGAATCCGAGTTGTACATTAATATGGCTGACTGTATGAATTAATTTGTTAACTGGCTGGACTCACATTAAGTTCGTTGGTCTCTGTTTTGAGGACCAGAGCCCTTGGAGCCGGGGTTGGCGGTGGGGGCAGGACCTGTGGTTTAACTCCGTACAGGTACTGGATGCCTAGTCTGTCGTCTTCGCTCAGCCTCAGTGGGTAGGAGAAGGAGTAGTACGCGGACATGATGGTTTTGGGCTTACGTGAGTGCTGCAGGCCCAGGACATGCCCGAACTCATGGGCGGCAACCTGCAGAAGGTCTGTACCTGCAAGGAGGAAGGGAGAGGTTCATACAAGGTCTGAAAATAGGAGAGAGTTTTTGTTTTGACCCGGTTTGAGCAGCAGACTGCGGGGATTTCACTATCTGAGCCAACTGGGTCAAACAAGGGGAAAAAAAGTCCCTTTAACTGCTGACTCACACATGTCCTCAGTTAATCGCACGCATGTGTCTGACATGTTTACCTTTAGTCAGAGTTAGCATATACTTTAGCAAGTCCCACTGTAACAACTTTAATTACAGTTACAACAAACAAGTTGATGATAATTATTAAAAGAGAGTTGAGACACATTACTTGGTGCAGAATAAGCCACAAACACCAAAAGTCTTTTTTTTAAATTAACTGATCTGCAAACAGATGAAAAGTTGCTTCTGCACAAACATCACAGTGTGGTTATAATTGTTCAGCTTATTAATTAATTCCTCTTGTTACAGTTAAATACAACCTTTGTTGTCATTCTAACTCATCCTGAATGTCTCAGATGGGTGATGGTGTACCTCAGGGATGGTTGTTTGAGTCCCTTGTTGAGTTTGTTTATAACCGTTTATTCGCAGGTTATTATCTGTACATGTCTGTAATGTAGCCACAGAATTCAGATACTTTTCAGTCAATGAATAGACTATGAACTCAGAGTACCAAAGTAATCTGGAGTCAAATGTGAGCCAAACACTAGAAAGAAAGGATTTTATTTGTTGAGGGATTTTTTTAGGGAGCATCAACTCCACCAGCAATATCAAACAGAATAAGCAATTTACAAGACATTCACTAAGTGATTTTTATAAATATATACTCAGTTTGGACAGTAATTAATAAAACAAACCCAAATCTCAGAGTATTTTTGATGAATTTTGGATGCAAATTGTTTACATTTTGTGAAGTTTTTCCATTTTTTAGCAGTTTATTGAAACAAACACAAACAGACCGAAACCAAAGTGATCCAGAAACTCACCCATGTAGTTCCCCAGAGTCCAGGACTCGTCGTAGTCGAAGTGAATGTCGCCCTGTCGATGCGTTTTCGGGAAGAAGGCGTGAGCTAGAATCCCACCTGGACCGTCAAACGGCAGGTTGTCTCCATGCCAGTAGCTGCAGGTGAATAAAACAAGCGTCCCCATCAGAAACAAAACCTTCCTTTTTTAAAAACAGCGAAACAAAACATCTAAACTCTCTCACAAAGTGAATAAAAATAACTTGAATCCTTTAAAATACACAACAAAGTTCAGTACAGAGGATGATAAAGTTGTAAAAATAAATAAAATGAACTAAAGACAAAGATATTTCCGTTTAAACAACACTGGGATGTGACGAGATGCTTTAAGTGAAATGATTCAAAGAGGGGAAACACAGAAACGATAAAAGAATGAAAAACCTCGAGTCAGCAGATACGGATCATCCATAAAGCAGGAGTATCAGCGCAGTGGAGCCTGCTTGTCGTCTCTTGCTCCATTATCTCCGTGTTCATCTTCACAGCTCTGCAAATCTCTTTGTGCCAGAATCTGATCCTATCTGTTTAAATGTTCTGCTAGTTTTACTGAAACGATCCTGATTTTTATCCAGGACATAAATCAGGCTCATTCTTATTAACTGAGACATTTTTTCAACAACAAATATAGAAAACGTTATTGGTTGTCTCGAACCAATGTTGATTTTTATTTTTGAATAATTTACTAAAGCAGAGGGATTCGTCTCCTCGTCACACAGAGTTCAGAAGTGATTTTCTGAGGAAGTATCATTCATTATTGCAGCAAAGAAGCAATAATAAGTGATGTAGTTTAAAGTGACACCAGCAGGGGGAGCAGTTCTCTCCTGACAAGAGGTCATAGAGGTTAAAGGAAATAAAAACTCTGAGCTCAGAGGATTCCCTTAGCATAAGCTCTTCTGAACTGGATCAAAACTAAAACAACAAAGCTTGGTCCGTCTCTGCTGAAGCCGTACGGAGATAAATTAGTGCCACAAAGTTTGTTCAAAAGAAAATAAAAATGTAACTTCATATAAGATATTTGAAACTGAAAATTTGTTTTGGAACTGGAAAAAAAAATTAATTAAAAAACTGCAGACTTTGAAAAAAAATATCTGATACATATCTAATTTGGTTCCACACATGTGGCTCAAATAATAATATACACAAATTATGATAATAAAATCAAAATAATACGAGATTAAAGTTGTATTATTACGAGGATAAAGTCATATTATCATGTAATTGACTTTATTCTCAAAATAATATGATTTTATTCTTGTATTAATTCAGCCTTAGTCTCATAATAATCAGTTTTTCTCTGAAGTTTGACTTTAGTCTCAGAATTCAGAATCGTTTTTTAGAATTTGGACTATTTTTTTAATTTGGTTTTTAATCTCAACATTTTTTATTTTTTTCCCAGAAATCTGACTTTTTTGAATAATTATGACTTTTAAGATAAAGAATTAAGAATTATTTTTATTTTGGTGGCCCTAATCTTCTTCCATAATAAAAAAACTCTTAGAAAATACCTTCTGATTACATTTCACATGAACCTAAATGTGATTTAAATTGTTGACAAACCAGAACATGTCTGCCACTGGGAATAATCCAGTTCATCCCATAGATTAATGCCCAGATACTGAAGGTTTTGACACTAATTGAGCTGGAGGAACCAATTCATTAAGTTCCTGTCAATTTGTTTATCCACTGACAAAAAGTCATGAGCCACCATGATGAAAATGTAAAACTACTTCTGTTCAGACATCAAGTCAGTGAGTTCATGATTTATTACTTATTTTTGGAGAATTAACAAATAAAAATCTGCCTCTAGTCAAGAAAAGTTGTAGAAATTAAACACAAAAAGAGACTGATTGACTGGTTGAGTCAGAACAGACGGTTTTTATTCGGGTTTTCACCTGGAAAAGTCGATCCGGATGTCAGCGATCCCCCTGTGGACCTCGGTGAAAGTGAGAGGCGTGACATCGCTCCAGATCTTCACCGCCTCCTGGATCACGCGCCGCACCTTCTCCTCGTCCATCTGCCAGGGGAAGCGTTCGATCCTGCAGGAAGCCAGCGCAGGAGTCAACACAGGAAGTGAAATGTATGTTTTTAAGTTTCAACTGTAAATTACTTTTTTATGCTTTTAATCAAATATTATATTGCACTTTGTTACAAAACTGTTTAGTTTAAATATTAAGCACTTTCAAGGACTTTCTACAGAAATCAAGCACTTTCCAAACCTTGAAAAAACTTAATAGAAATTCAAGGATTTTAAACACCAATACAAACCCTGCAAATAATACAGGTGGCTTTATTTTTTTATTTTTTATTTTTAAATCAGAGTAATAAAACCTGAAAACTGTTCATTTTGAAAACATAAAAACAGGAACAAAGACTTCTGCACTAAATTGTTTTTAAACCTGTGAGATGCAGGGCAGGAAATTAAAGGAACATTTTGCCCTTTATGAGGCTTGTGGATTAATGTTGGAGAAGTTCGAACTTGTTCTGCTCGCATTAATTGCAGCTTTTCTGAAGCAGTGAAATAAAAGCTGGCAGAGTTGACCGATTACACGAAGTGGTTCCAGCATGTAATTTTGCTCCAGGACATCAATCTGTAATTTTTCTGTTGCGTGGAAACAGAAAATGGCAAACAAACAAGGCAAACGGTGTTAATTTGTAATACTTAGAGGTGAAATGTTTTGTTTCTCCTTCCAGATCGGTGTGGGAGACAGAAGCATTAGAATAATGTAGAAAATAACTAGTTTTAATATGATGTCTCAACAGGTTTTTGCATCATTTATTCATATTTCTGATATTGAGAAATAAGTTTTGACAGAAAGTCAAAGAAGATGAGCTCAAAATTATTCATACCCTCTCAGATTCAGATTTAAATGATTTTTTTCCATGGAAGAAGTTTAATTCTGTAACATTTCTGTAACAGACCACATTTCTGTTTTTAAAAAGATATTTTTTAATGGCTCTGATGTAGTATTTTAATTTTAAACATATTTTAGCGATTGTGTATTAAGGTCATACTAAGAAAAATAAAATTACGAGAATGAATTCATAATATTAGAAGAATAAATTTGTACAAGAATAAGGTTGAAATAATACAAGAATAGTCCCAGTAATTTAAAAATAAAGTGACAATATTACAAGAATAAAATCATAACATGCTAATTAGGTTGTAATAACCAGTATGGGTGTATTTTTGTTGTATTCCATTTCTATTTTATTCTCATAGAAACTGTGAATTAATTATTATATTATGACTTTATTGATTAATTTTCATTAATTTTACTTTCTTAGCATAGCCTTAATACTTTGTCGTTTTCGCTAAGTGGAAAAACATCACAATTAATAGAAATAAAAGCTTTTAAACATCAATATGTGTGGAATTAATCTGTTTAGTGTCTCAGTTTGTAATAAAGTTCCTAAAATAAATGGGGTTCTCAATAATTTTCTAATTTATTTATTGAATGTTCACTTTTTTTGCAGCTTCTTATTCTTTCTTGCAGACTTCTCTTTTCAATCTTGTCGCTATTTCTGGTAAAAAATGGCGACTTGAGAGACGATTTTAGACTGAAACTGAGTTTGGAGTCAGAGAAATTTCAGCTGAGAAGAGGTAAGTTTATCAGTGTCAGTAAAACCTTCAGAATAAAAGCCCAGATTTTCTGAATAGTTCAGGTTAATGTGGATCAGTTCAAAGTGTTTCTGTTTATATGGAAAACATCCATCTGTCTTCACAGAGCGGGACTTTCCTGTCTTTCATCAAACACCTGCAGATCTGGAGGTGTGACTCTGAGTCACGGAGCTGCAACGTGCAGGATCATCTGGGTAACTTTTCAGCTTTTGACGGTGCCAAAACATACATCAGAGGAATTTTTTTATTGTTTCCAAGCAAAAGAAAAGCAAAAAAAAGCAAAACATAAACAAGGAACAGCAGTTCTCACATATTTTTAGACTTTTTATTGTTTTGTGGATGATACAAACCTCAGATTTATGTGTGATAGTTTTTCAGGAAAGGATTCATTAGCAGTTAAAGAAATACTGTTTACTAATCTGTATTTCTTCAATCAATAACAGGAAAAGGTGCTTTATAGGACTTTATTTTTTTACAAACGAGGGAAAGGTGAAACTGTCACTTGAAGAGTTCTGGGTAAAACATTTTTATAAACAAAGAAGGTTTTCAATCTTAGATGCAAAATGTATAGATATTTTTTGACAGTTTTGGGTTAATTGCTGCTCTGAGTGTGTTTTTCAGCAAATCGCCATTTTTAGAGTCTATAAACTTCAATCAACAATTAATCGATTACTAAATTAACTGAGGATTAGTTGTTGCTTTTTTCTACTCCCTTGTGTTTCATTTTAGTGTTAAAAAGTGGCCGTCATTGTGTTATTTTCTGTTTATCATGAACTTGTTTTTTACGCAGGAGGACCTTTATTTTGAGTTGAGCTTGTGTTTCAGGGTTGAACTTCCTCTCCATAAAGCTCCAGACTTTAAGATTGCGCAGCAGCCTGTGATCTCCTCTCAGTCCAGAGGAGGAGATCTCCTTTACTGCTTGTTTTAAAGCAGTAAAAACATCCATCTTGGACTTCATGCTTTACGCAGGAACTTCTTCCAAAAGCTCAAATTAGTGGCCGATTCTAAATAAAACTGAACACGGGAGGTAAAAGGCATGGCTTCGGCGTAAGACGCCTGCAGTAGGTGGGGTGCAGTTTGACCTGGTGGGCCGTTGCCATAGCTACAGTTAACCACATCACTCAGGTGTCGCTTATATCGACCCGATCCAGGGGAATCTAATTAGTCTGCGGCCTGTTCTGCCTCCCCCATGCTGCTTTCTTTCGGCGTGCCTTAATATGCTGTTATGCTAAAGAACGAGTACAATGAAAGGGACCCCGGGAGACGCAGACAGAGAGGCAGCAGCCGGCAGACGCCGACCGGCTGTCGATGGAGCCACGGCCCCAGATGAAAGAAAAGCAGCACCTCTTTGTGGAAATCATAAGTCCATGACTTCATTTTCAGATTGCTCTATCTGCTTTCTCATCTTTCATGGCGTTCCTGGAGTCGGTCGCTCTGTGTTTTTGATCTGCAGCAGCTCCCGTTTGGCTCTGTCTATCTGCTGTTTGGTCCTCAGAGAACGACCCAAATTAGGATTTTTTTTTATCGCGGAAACATCTGCTGACCGCAGCTGGAAACATGCAGACATCAGAGCTGCTGCACGCGCTGCAGGCTGCAGGTTTTACTCAGATTACACAGGTCAGAGCAACAGTTGTTCTGAAACTGCACATGTTCTCTGTAATGCAAGGAAAAATGTAGCTGCTTATCCTTCACTGCAGGGAAACCATCTAGGGCAGAAACGATTAATCAGATTAATCACGATTAATTGATTACTGAAATAATCATCAACTAATTCAGCAATCAATTAATTGTTAACAGGAGCATACAGACTCAAAAATGCCATTTGGTGAAAGAACGACACAGTCAGAGCAGAAGTTAAGCTAAAACAAAAATACATTGTCATTTAAGATAAAAAGAAAAAATCTGTAAATATATTTCGCTCTTCAAGTGGCACAGTTTTATCTTCACCTGTTTTTTAAAAAAAACTACACTACGGGAATGTTGGGCAGAAAAATATTTATTTCCTTATTTTAAAAAGTATTCAGATAGTTTATTTGCATCTTTTAATGTATTTCTAATGTTGTGCAAAAAGGTTTAAATAAAAAATCTGCAGAATGTGCCATTTTTAAAATCTGATCAATCGATTAATCGTTAGTTGCATCTCTCATCTCGTGTGAGGTAGACAGTTCACCAACACAGAAACACACAGGATATACAACCTCACACACACACTGGAGGAAACTCATGAATGAGTGAGGAGAAAAATGAAATCTCCATGTAAAAAGACTGTAGGCCGATATTTGAACCCAGGACATTCTACAGCCTACAAAACATGTTCATGACATTTTTGCACAAAATCATTTAGATGAGATTTTGAATCAGTTCTGCCCATTTTGAGTTGTTTTAGGGCCTCTGTCACCTTAGATCCAGATAAGCAGCTGCTGGTCCCCAACTCAACATTTACACTAGGGTAATGACACATGAAAATGACTGTAAACAGACACACAGTTATACAACCATACATCTGTGAACAGCATTAATAGAGCCTCCTGCGCAATCAACAAAAATGCAGCAAATGGTTTCTGAATGATTCATCAACAACAAAACACTTTTGTCTTTTCCAGCAGCCATTATACAGCGCATACAGTTTAAACCAGCTAGCTAAATGTGCTGGAACTCAGGTTGGGTTGCTAGGTAACGAGCTGGGCTTCACTGGGGTTGCTAGGCAACGGAAACTGCCTGCTGATTTGTGATGTTACGTTCAGAAGGTTTTTGAAATGGCTCATTTTCCAGACACCAAAAGACATTAACGTATTACCAGAAAACGCCTGTTTTTTTTGTTTTTTTTAAGCGTTTCGTTTCTAGCAGTGGAAACTGAAAAACTTGCAAAATGTGAATTTTGCATTATAGGTCCCCTTTCAGAGATCTGAGCAGAAACACAATAATGTCAGACGGATAAAGTCTGACAGAAAACAGCAGCTAAAAGCTGTTCCTGCTAGATATGGTTCATATTTTATCCCTACTGTGTGTGGATTCGTTAAAAGAACGACTGTTTAATCATCATAAAATAATCTTATTTCCATACTTGTAGGTGAGATCCTTCTTGTCAAAACGTCCTCCATGCAGAACGAAGCGTCTCTGGCGGTGTCGACCTCGGTACTGCAGCTCCTTCTGGTTGGGGAAGTCCGGTACGCCACAGCGCGGCCGATTCCATATGTTGGAAGCGTTGGTGGACGGACTCGCTTCCTTCACCGAACCCTGAGGGTGAGGAGGCTTCGCCCTCTTCTTCAGGTCCGGGGACTTCTCAGAGGCCTGGAACGACCAAGAGGTTCGGTCCAGTTAGTTCACAGCTACATGTGCCACACACAGTGAGGAAGAAGCAACAGAGGTGGGAAAGAACCCAAAATGAAGTAAGAGTCGCTCTAATTTAACATATTATTACTGAAGTAAAAGTAAAAAGTATCAGTCCAAGAAATTACTCGAGTCAAAGAGTGAAGTACTGAGTAACTGATCAAACTATCAATCATTTAATATTTAAAATTTACCTTATCAGATGGACCAAAATATAATGTTAAGTGGATATTTTCATATTTTAAGGATGAAAATAATAAGAATTTATATAAGTAAGAACAAAAAAACCCAACAAAATCCGGCAAATATTAAATTTTTCTAAATCAGTTTCTTTCAATAAAAAATCTATAAAACTTTCAACAAAAACTGCAGGTGTGTGTCTGTGTCTGGTGAATTTCTGGTTAAAACATGTTTGTTCTTCATTCAGCAGGTAGAAAATCCAGAAATTTTACTGAAGAGTAGAAATTCTTCATAATAAAATTACTCAAGTAAAACTAAAAAGTGCAGCACAGTAAAAATACTCGTAAATGTAATTTTTTTTCAAAAAAGGTTATTAGGTAAAGGCAACTGAGTAAATGTAACTAGTTACTACCCAACTCTGTCAAACACTAAGTAAAAGTACAGATAAGCAAAAGTATACTCTAGTAAAAGTAAAAGTACCACATTAACATTGTTACTTGCTTTTAAAAATACTTCAAGTACTGAAAGAGAATTTACTCGTTGAATTTATCGTTTAATGCATCAGCTGCATCTATATTTTCTTGAATTCATCAATATTTTTGACATATGCAGCCAAACGAGCGCCACAAGTTCACAGAGTTCATCTCTTACAGAACAAAAGCAGAAAATGTGAGAAGGAGATGAAAATGAGCGAAGTCATTACAGCTCGTCCATATCTGACCTACATTCAGCCTAATGGCAGCCTGACCTCACGGCCGGGTCACTGAGCCACGTAGCTGGGCCCCAGCGAAGGTCCCTGAGTGACCCATTACCCCTCGTCCTGATTCAGAGGAAATGACTCCGCTCATTTCCACACAAACTAATTACAGATCAGACCCATCCCATCGGCACCTTGCTCCACAACACTGAGGGAAAAAAACACAATGTGCAGAAAACTGCAGGGTGTTCTCTTCCTATCGCAAAATTGCGTGCATTTCCCTTTCCGCTGCCGCGCCGAGCTACCTGTGGGAAAAGACGCTATCGTTTTATTGTGTTGAGATGAGACTAATTACCTCTGTCAGTGGATCCTCTCAGTCTGCGGCTCTCTTACATGAGCTCTCGTTCAAACAACGATCTGACTCCAGCTTTTGTTCTCATCATGATTTTTCTGCAGATTGACAAATTTCTGACATGCTACAACATGCAAGGCTTCAGCTTCAAGAAAAATACATACAAGTTAACGTTTTTCAGTACCTGGCTGCAGAGTTAGGCAGTAACTAGTTACATTTACCTGAGGAACTTATTTTGATTTCTTTTTCCAACGTTGTACTTTTTACTTTTACCTAAGAAACTTTATTATAAAGCATTTCTGCTCTTACTTGAGTAAAATTTCTGGATTTTCTACCCACTGAATTAAAAGCAGACATGTTTTAACCAAAAATTCTGCAGGATTTCACCTTTAATTAATAAACTGTGCATAAAATATCTTGAAATTTAGTATTTTAGGGTTTTGTTGCAGACTTTGAGGCCACTGCTGTGCTCCCAAGTGTTCATCTAAATGTGTGTGATAGCATCCATTCAGTCTTTGTTTTCTGCCTGTGTGATATGATGTCACGTGGGTAACAGGTTCAGGAAGGAAACCCAGGCTCCCTCTCTCCTCAGCAGCAGTCTGACTGATCCCACCGGCTTCCCAGGACAGGAATCGTCTCCTCTCACTGGGACATGTTTGGAAATCCATCAAAGAAGAAACCCAGAAGACCGGACTCGTCTTATCTGACTCGTTTTGATTCTGTGTGAATCATCTGGTGTCTGCACACCAGATAGTCCAGTAGGCTCGGTTTGATTGGAGACCAGAATTACAATGTTTGTTACATTTTCAGCTGCTGCAGTTCGATTTCCCACTGCACTGTCAAACAAACCAAACCAACTGAAAAACCTGTTCCCCTCCTGGCCTCTGGGGGCGCTGCACCAATAACCAGTACAGGAAACGACATGAAAACCTCTGAAGGAGACAGTTTCCTTCTTCACAAAATGTGAACAAAAATGGATTAGTGTTGGATTTTAACAGTTGGAGGATTTCTAAAAACCACATGCCATTACCCCCTGCAGTGCATGTGTGTCAAACTAAAGGCCCAGGGGCTAAATCTGGCCCACCACAGCTTTTTTTGTGGTCTTCTGGACTCCAGATGACAAACTATATCAATCAGTCCCTCCCGTTTTTTATGATCGTGGCTCAACACATTTCCGTTTTTGTTGCGTTAATGCATAATTGTGAGTTTATTGGAAATTTTCTGCAAAAAAGGTAATCAAGTTTGGGTTTAAGTGATGCTAACTCCCACCTGCAGGTGGCGGTATTTCCTACTTTACGACGCTGTTGCCTCAGCCTTTCTTGATTTCAGATTATAGTCTGTGATCAATATGGCGACTAGCAAAATCACATTATGGTCATTCATATGTGCAAATTTAGCAAATTTCCTTGAAAATATTACTAAATTAGCGCCACAAAATCACAAAAGCAATTAAAAATCCTGAAGGACAGACTGATGTGAGAAGATGTTCAACTTTATTTCTAAGAAGTACACACGTTTGTTTTGGTTGTATTTACCCAGAATGCTCTGCGGTATCGTCCTCTTTCTGCTTTTGTAAGAAGTGAATTAATCTGCCCGTACTTTTCAGCAATATTAAGGAATTACCGACTTAAAACAAGCTCCTGTATCTTACTGAAAAGTTAGTTTTACCTCATTTCAAATGTAAAATGATATTTGCAGTAGAAACTGGACCAAAAATCCTTGGTAAGATTTTGTGTTTCTGCACTGCAGGCGGAATAAAAACAACATGAGTCTGGATCAGCAAACAGAGACCAGGTGAGTCTAATAAGAGCGATCATAACAGGGAGGCTAAATAAAACCAGAACATGTGGAACAAGCGAAACTTTGCTCAAACACGGTGCGGCGGAGACACGCACATGTCTGGGATTATCTGAGAGAAAATGAAAACCTCTAGCAGGAATCCACAGAGCATGACAGCTTCGCTCTGTAAGATGAGACGTTATTTAGAAAAGATGTTTCACTCTGCTGACCTTTGATCTCTGTTAGACAGTCTGAGGAAGAAATGTAAATATCTCCATTCTTCCACCTACATTCAGGCTAAATCCAGACAGTATGTATGGGGACCTTCATACACTGCAAAAACACAAAATCTTACCAAGTATCTTTTGTCCAGTTTCTCATGCAAATATCCTAGTACACTTAAATAAGACAAAACTAAAGTGCAAGTAACTTGTCAGCAAGATGCAGGAGCTTGTTTTAAATGTTTTTTTTTTTTTGCACAAAATCATTTTTATATTAATGAGATTTTAGTCTGCTCAGTTCAGAATGAGCTGTTTTATTTAAATCCAAATCAGCTGCTTATGGCCAAGCCCCTCAACTCAACGTTTACACTCGCACATGAAAATGGCTGCAAACAGATGAGCAATTATGCAATCGCACATCTTTGAAAAGCAGAAGTGGAGCCTCCTGCAAAACCAACAAAGAATGCAGCAAGTGGTTTCTGGATGGTAAGTCAACAACAAAACACTTGTCTTTTCCAGCAGCCATTGTACAGCGGTAAAACCAGCTGCTGGAGCTCAGCTTGGATTGCTAGGTAACGGGCAATGCTTGCTGATTTGTGACACTACATTGTGGGAGGTTTTTGAAACAGCTCATTTTACAGCTATCAAAAAACATTAACTGTCAAATTAACTTAATTTAATGCCAAAAACTGGCAATAAGCTAAAAAATGGAGGTACAAAAATGTTCAAAAAATGTGAATTTTACATAATAAATCCCATTTAAGTAAATAATTCCTTCCTGGTTTCACTGACAGATTATTCAATTCCTAACATTTTTCCAATTATTGAAATAATTTGCAAATGGAACTAGTTCTTATCCATCAATGCTAAGGAATTATTGATTTAAAACAAGCTCCTATTTCTTGCTGAAAAGTTACCTGTAAGTTAGTTTTGTCTTATTTCAAGTGTCCTGAGGTATTTGCATTAGAAACTGGACCAGAAATACCTGTTAAGCTCCTGTGTTTTGCAGTGCAGATGAGCTGCTCCACAGAGCAGGACTCCACCTTGTCGCTGATGTAGGTTATGAGGAACAAAACTCAGTGGGATTCATGGAATGTGCTCCAGATTGCAGAAACAGAGTGACTGATGGCTCTAAATCCCAGAAAAAACAACAACACACACCTCAACGAACCCCCACCTTTCTCCAGCTCCTTTGTTTCACTCTGTTTAAAGCAGATTTCAGCTGCTTATTCCACTGCACAAAGCACTTATTCATGTCGGAGGGGATGTTTATGTTCCCGTCCGTGTGGCTCGCTCTAAAAGGCTCGTTGGAGTTGCTAAGAGCGAAACAAAATGAGTTGCAGCTTCTAAACAGAAAAGGTTTCTACGCTCCCCCCTGAAAAGCTGCTGCTGGTGTGTTTTTGAGCTGGAAGAAATGTGAAAGACCAGTGTGATATGAAGTGCTATCTGGCTTCCTGGAACAGATTCTGATAACATGCATACAGAAGAACAACAGAAAGTCTTATCATGGTGTGAAGCAGCTATGAAAGCCTTCAGTCTAAAGGCCGGCAGGATGAAAAACAGCGTGGAGTTTGGTTAGAAGATGTTGATCCAGCTTCTTGAGGACGGTACACATAATCCAACAGCTTCAACTTTATCTAAAGTGAGTCAAGATAATGATGAAATGTGCTGGAAAACTGAATCACCACCATTTGGTCTGGGTTTTACTTACTTTAAAATGAAATACTCCCAT